CTGCCTATGGAAGGTGGTGGCTGCCATGGGAGAGCAGAATGCAGATCCTGGTTCTCCCTTCCCCATGGGCAGCACCACAAGAGTGGAGCTTGTGGGCTGGGTGGGTGGAGGTCTCTTCTGTGGGCTTGTGCTCCCTGCCCTGCTGCCCTCCCCCTGGGGCATCCGCAACCCAGTGGGCAAGACCTGGTGCAGCAGGCCAAAGCGGGGCCCCCTTCCCTCCCCAACTTATCTGTGGCAGCTGCTCTCCAGGCTGCCTGGTAGCCATGTGCATGTGTATGTGCACACATGCGCATGGCACCCCCTGCTTGAGCGCCCTCCTCCCGCTTCCCCCGGCCCTTTGCAGGCTGGAACTCTGCGAGCCTGCAGAGAGCTCTTTGCAAAAATGGAAAATCTACATTTCTTCATTAAAATGAGCAATTCACGCTTCTCCATTAAAATGAGAAATCTCTGTATTTCTCAATTAGAAAGGAAAATCCACGTTGTCCCCCGCCCCCTCTCGTTTTTCTATGGTAAGCAGAAAACCTGAATTCCTGGTGTTCATGTAATTCTCCTTGTTTCCATCTGTCAAGTTGCATTAAAAGACAACTAAAAGTTCCTAAAATACTCGTTTTCTGTGGGAGGAGACATAGTCCACATGCTTGTGGGTTGGATGGGAGGTATCCATGGATCAATCTTACTTTTAAGTTGTGATCAGTGCTATGAAAATGCTTAAGATGTCTGAAATTAGAGAATTTCAGTTCACATATCGATAGCAGTTGTTTTTAATTTTTTTTGGCAAATTAGTGCATGGTTTTAAGTAATCTCTTTTTTTCCCCTTTTGATCATGATATATGGATGAATAAAAACAAGGGATGGGTTGTGAAGCAGCAGGCTGCAACTTCCACAACAAAGTGGAAGGAGGTCCTCATTCTTCATGCAATAAAACCAGTAAATCATGGTTGGCCCTTTCCAGTCCAACATCTTGGACTCTTGGGGTGCAGACAGATATAGCAGTTGAACTGTTCCAAGATTTGGAGCCGGTTCACAATTTCCCCTGGACAGAAGTGTCCACAAGTACACTGCTAAGGTTCTAAGTGGAATCCTTACCTTTGGAGATTACCTTCCCTGGGGGCATTTTGACAGCAGTGCAGAGTACTTGTACCATTGTGCCTTTCAGGACGCAGTGCTGCAGTTTCCTGAGGATTTCCCTAGATGGGGAGAAAGACCTAGATTGGTTGGATGCCACCCTCAATTGAAAATTTCTGCTTCCTCATCTCAAACCATTGAGTTAAAAAGACTGAATTGAATAAAGAGCACTTTGTGGTTCACTGGAGATGCACAGGTGTGGCTTGGGGTGAATAGCTTAGACCCCTGCACAGATATTGGGCCCCACTTGGGGGGTCCCAGGCTCATTTGGGTCAGGAGTGTGGTGGAGGGTGGAAGGGCTACCAGGTACTTGTGGGGGGACAGGGGTGGCACTCTGATACCCTGCTCCTGGTTCCCAGGGGGCTACAGACTCTGAGGGCCTCCATGAACTCTGTGGCTTTTCCTTATCTGTCCTGAAAGCTAGTTTGTCAATTTCATATTTCTTCTGTGGCCCCTACAGCTGCGAGTCCCAGGCTCATTTGAGGTGGGGAGATGGGTATGTGGAGTGTATGCACAGGTTGCTGATTGCTGTGGGGGGCTGTGACTCCCTGCATGTGTTGCCCAAGGGTTTGGGTTCTCCGCAGGCTCTCCAAGATCTCCACTGTTTTGCTTTTTGCAAGACTTGCATTGGAATGCATTTTGTCAATGTCACTTCTCTGCACAGGGCCTGTGCTGTGAGTCACAGGCTCTATTGGGTAGGGGGTGTGAGTGGAGGGGTTGCCAGGTGGGGGGGGCAGACTTCCCTCTGCATGTAGGGCTGGGGAGGTGCTACATGCTCTGGAGGGCCCCAACATCCCTCCCCTCCCCCCCCAACTCTGTTTTGTTGTCTACTTACCAAAGCATTTTGTCAGTTTCAGTGCCCTGAATAAATATACCCTATGTTGCAAAGTTGTAGGCTCACTTGGGGTAGGGGATTTCCAGGTTCTTGGAATGTTATGTGACCCTGATGCTCATGGTGTTGGGGGATGGCAGGGGGGCATGGGTGCTCTGACCTCCCCACCAAATAACTCTAGGGCTTTTCAACATCTGCCCTAAAAAGCTATTTTGTTTATTTCACCTTCCAACTGCATTCACTTGAGTTGTTGGCTCCCAAGCTTGTTTGTGGTGGTGGTGAGAATTGAGGGGTAGCCAAAAGCTGTGGAGAAGTATTTTGCCCCTGTTTGTGGTATGTGGAGGTCCGGGGGCTGAAGTGCCCAGGGACTGTAGCAGGGATCTGAGATTGAGAAGGTAGCTTTCCAAGCACGGTTGGAAAAGTTGGAGAGTTTTTGGGGTACCCCAAAGTACCCATCCTCCAGTGAACCATGAGCAGGGTGCCAAATACACACCCAGCATCTGGCAACCCTTTCATTCCCACTGTTGTCTGCCCCAGATGACCCTGGGACCCACACCCAGGGTCTCTAAGAAGGAAGTAAAACTGACACAGAGGTTTTCTGCTTCTGTACTAGGTAGGCTGTAGAGTCCTGGCTGCATTCCAGAACAGCCCCTTGCCCCTTGTTTGGGAAGGATGAAGAGAAGTGCAGTTTGGGGTGCCTGGAGGACCGAGCAGACACTAGGCATGAAATGCTGTGTTCTCATGTAACATTTTTCTGGTTCATGGAGGACTGGTTCAAAACTGCATTTGATTTTCCCGTTGTACTTTTAAAATGTTCCAGGAAGCTTAAATAGGTTTTAAGTGGCCTGCACGTCTAGACTTGTGGGGTTTAAAGTGCATTTAGGATGTTCTGTTGCATCTGTCCACACTCTTACTCTTCTAGTTGCTTCTTGACTCATCCTGGAGTCACTGCATTGTGACTGTCTGTCCTGGCCCCTTCCTAAGCCAGCTCTGTGTATGTCATACCTCCCCCCCACTATTCATGCTTTGGGAGCTAACTTTCTATTTGCATGGTTAAGCTTTTTCCTGATAATTCCATTAACTGATGGTTATTAACAGTTAATTTTATCCAACAGTGTCAAAGCACTTAAAAGTCAACTTTGCATACGCTTAACCTTTTTTTTTACAGTTATTTGCATCAATAAATGTAGCCTTCTCTTGGAAGAAGAGTTAACAAGTGTAATTTTAATCAGTACACAGTTCAGGATAGAAAGTAAACAATTTTATTTGGACGAAAGATAATCTACCAGTTGGAATATATTACAGGGTGACTTGAAAACTTGCATGTTTACTATAAAGAACATGTTGGCATATGAGATGGCCTTAGCTAACCCAGTCAAGACCTCTAAGAAAATAGAGAGGTGTCTTTAAACAGAAACTGTAATGAAAACCTATGATTAAATTCCCTCCCTTCCATTTAGAAGTTGTAACTCTGAGAGGAAGGAAAATTTTGAACTGCAGAGTGGCATGTCATTGCATGTATTGAGATGCTAGCAAGTTGGGTATAATCAGTTTGTGATGATTAATACTGAAACCAATTGATTTTTTTGATTAAAAAAAATAATTCTTCAAGGTTTCTGAAATGTATGATGCTGTGTTTTTATGTGCTTTATACCCATTTAGTACCAGATGGATTCTTATTTAATGAAGTGGCCCAAACTTTAACCAGTGATACAGTTTTTATATTTATTGTGTTAGTCACCCAACAGTTAAGTCATTTTTGGCTGTTATTTGTGAAATGTGGGTCAAAAGAGGTGGTAAATAAAGTGTGTTATCATAGGATCATTAGGGGTGTGTGAAATGGGCCGTATTTGATTTAGATTCAGCCTAGATCAGGGACGGTGATTCGATTAGTTGATTGGGATGACTGTCCTGTTTTGATTCAGCTGAATCCAAATCTGGAGATTCAGTGCTGATTTAGAGAATCAGTGATTCGGCCACAGACACAGCTTTAAATGTTTTTTCTACATACCTTGAGGTACCAGGTGCAGCTTGTGAATGCTGCAATGGTCGGACGAATCGAGTGTCTCACGGGAGCATGGAGGGGGCCCCCCTGCATGCTTGGCAGCTAAACCAGAAGTGGACCAGAAGTACTTCTAGTCAACTTCTGGGTCTGCTGCTGAGCATGCTGGCGCCCCCCCCCCCCCCCCCCCCCCGCCCGGTGCCTCCCTGGCTCAGCGGCTGCGGGGGGACCCCGGGTGCCTGCCCCCAGATTCAGGAAGCACCAGTAGCCAAGCTGGGAGGGGGTGCAGGAGGGCCTCCACATGCTCCCCAGCAGACCTGAAAGTGGACCGGAAGCACTTCTGGTCCACTTCTGGATCTGTTGCCGAGTGCGGTGGGGACCTTCCCGTGCTCCTGTGGGACGCTCCATATGCCCCACCATCTCAGTGTTCATGAGCTGCACCTGGTACCTTGAGGTGTGTAGAAAAAACATTTAAAGCTGCGTCTATGTCCAAATCTCTCCGAATCGATTCAGAGGGTTCCGATTTGATTTGGAGAGATTACATTTGTTACATTGTTATGAAGGTATTTACAGTAAAGAAAAATAAAAAAAATCATTGAACATACTCTTTCAACTTTTTTGCTGTAGAAAATAAATAATTTGGGTGCAGGCATTAGCGTTTTGTTCCAAACAGTTTCTGCATGCATTTTTTTTAACCAAGGGATTATAGTTCCTCTCACTCCTGCTTAAAGAGAGCAGTTTGGAATCCATTTGCAGATAAATTTGTTTCCTCCTAGAGTAAGAGAGATTTGTCTTGGGAACCTGAAATGATTTGAAGACTTCCTTTTTTTTTTTTACTTATTTATTGTCTGGATATAATAAACATTTAAGCATATGCTTGACTTCTGAGCATGTGGTTATATGATATGAACAGGACCATGGAGTTTTAGAAATGTATTGAATTGGTCAGTCTCTCTTCAATGGCATACTATGTGCATATACTTTTACTTAATGCACTGAAGAGTGAATATTTTATTGTACCATTGTTTTCCATCTTTTTAGCATTTTCTGGATTTTCAACTAATACCAAGTATGATCCATATCAGATTAAAGCAGAAATAGCAAGCCGTCGTGACAGAGTGAGTAATCTTTTTTCAATGGCATTACAAAGTTAAAGGAGCAAGGAGTATGTATATATAATGATATGTGTGCATACAAACTTAATTTTTTTTCAGTAATGTAATTTGTGGTAGGTGAGGAGGGCACCTGCCTCAGGTGCCAACATTGGGGTACCAGAATGGTGCCTCTCCCCATCCCACCCCTGTCCCCCCACCCTGCCACCATTCTAGCAATAACTGCAGCCCTGTGCTGCTACTGTTGCAGCAGCAGCTGGGTGCTGGGATACCATGCTGCAGCTGTATCAGCAACAACCAGGATGAGCAGCAGCAACTGAGGACTTCTTAAGTCCCCAGAGCAGGTAAGACTCCTGCTTCCTCCCCCAGCCTGCTGCGCAGGGCACAGTCCTGGTTAGTTATGCCTCTGCTTATTTTGTTAATGTTAAGCTAAGTTGTGTGGACATGCTTTCTAAAATTGAATGCTTTTAAAATGTTGCTATTCTAAGCAGTTTAATAATAAAAAAATGTACTTTTTACTATGTCACAGTGACTTGCAAAGCAAACTAGGTCATTTTACAAGCATATAGAATTTTCTGATATGAATGACACCCTGTACAACTTGAATTTTGAAAAAAAATTCTGTCTCAGTTTTGTCACCAGGAGTAAATATTTTGCAGTCCAAATAGTATTTCCATTTAACGCTTATACAAAACAGTTGTCATCTTATTTTACAGTTATTTTCGTTAGGCTCCCAGGGGTGTAACTGAGGCTATCATTTGTATTTGGAACGTCATTAATAATTCAGTGGGAGCACAAGCCAGGATGAATTTTATCTCAGTTGACCAGAGCTGTTTTATAAAGGAATAAAAGCAAAAGCACCCCACAGTAATAATATATAATTCTAAGTACATAGAATGTCTTTCTGTCATAAGGTGCCATTTTTATGTGATTTTTTTGAGAGCGGAAGCACACTTCAGGATGCTGTCTTTTCTAAGTAGATGGAAGTGGCAGAGATGCATTATAGGTGGCTTTCTAAAATCCATTACACTCTTAATAGAAAACAGGATAAATCTTCATGTGCAACTGTGCAGAAGATTTCAGCAATTACAAAGTACAGTATATAACTTAAAGTTCCCCAAAATCTTTCTGAATTGAGTGTTTCTTTTATTAATACATAAAGGGGAGCTTAGCATGCTAGACACTCAGCACGTGAAATAAATAAAATGCATATCTCTGATGGGTGGTGTTCCTGTTTTTGTTTTTATCACATACTGATCAACTTTCCACTTAAGTGTTTCTGTAAATAAATCTTATTCGCCACCCATCAAAGGCATTTAATCTATCTGTATGTGTTTACAAAACAGTATGTAGTTGAGTTAATGTGCAAAAAAAAAAAAGAATCCAACAAGAAAATTGTGTTTGATTTGTCTCAGATAAATTGACCCAGTTTGTTTAAAGAGGGTTTTCCATTTATGTATAGATTATGCCTCATTGTCTCCTCTGATTCATTAGCAAAGTGACAGTGGCCCTGAACAGGTGTTCATTTCTAGTGGTGGAAGGGATGGAGCAGTGGGCCAAAACCCTCTGCCTGTTCCCCAGCTAGAGTCACCTCTACAGAAGCACAAGTGTTCACTCAGTTTCTTTTAGGGGACACATGCACCCTCTGGAAGAAAGCTCTTGTAGGTATCAATCTGCAAGGGAGGGACTGAAGAAAGTCTCTTGCAGGAAAAAACACTCCTAGTCTGGTCCAAGAGGGGAATGGAGCAGTGAGTCAAAGCCCTCTTCCCATTTCCCAGACTAAGGCTGGGGGACAAACAAGGAACAGCTGCTCCTCCACTCTTTTCCTGGTGATGGGAGAAGAGTGGGAGAACAATCTCTCCACGCTTTTCCCAGACCAGAGTCCCTGCTTTGGGGCATGGGTTGGGGGCTTTGACTCACTGTTCCACTTGTCTCCTGGATCAGACTGGGAGAGGAACATACAAGGGTTCTTTCTTGTGAGAGATTTTTAACATTCCCTCCCTTCCAGGTCACCTGGAAGATCTTGTCTCCTAGAAGGGATGTTTGCCCCGGGAGAAATTGCATGAATGCTTGTATTGTTGTAGCAGTGACTCTCAGGGTAGAAAGAATGCCTGTATGTCACTAATGTATTCCACGTGTGTTAGGTGACCTTTTGAGTTGCACACACCAATACATGTTGAATTAATATAAAGAATGCAAAATACTGAACACTAAGAACATTTATGGATAAGATATTAGCCATATGGTTTCTCACAAAAATAAAACAAGACAAATGTTAGCTATGTATTATCTGATGAGGTTTGATGATACAGTGATTTTTCACTGTGTTGGATGAAGGATGAGGGAGAAGTTTCATAGTTTCATAGTTAGTAGGGTCGGAAGGGACCTGAGTAGATCATCAAGTCCG